AAATTAAATAAATAAAATTTAAAAATAAAATTAAATAAATCAACACAAATCTGGTTGAACTAAAAAAAAATCAGGTGAAAGCCACATATCTAGAAAGAGCACTTTCATTTGGTATTTTTAAAAATGTTGTCATTACACACATTCCATTCTTTTGCTTTTGAATTCAGTCCTTATCAATAATGTAATGTTCTACTAAGACAAGATAAGCTAAAAAGCTGAAAAGACACAGTCCTGTCCTTCAGGAACTTGAGGCCACAAGAGAATGGTCTATTCTCTATCTTTTTGAGAGAGGGATGGGCAGACAAAGCTATGCTGGACTATGTTGGAGAAGGCCTGGATCCTTAAAAATAAGGAATTTGGGCAACCCCAAGCTATGATGACAATGAGAGATAGAGTAGACGTTTTTATTCTTTTGAGTTACCTGCATCTAGATCTCATTTCTGGGTTTGGGGACCGTCTCTCACTCTGAGAAGGAGTCCACGTCCCATCAGAGGGAAGGTGCTCCAGGCTTCCCAGCATCCAGGGCACCCTCTAGGCCTGCCCAATCAGATATGCTCACCCCAAATTCTGAACCTAAACCTGGTGATACAGGAACCATGCAAACTCCTCCTGGCAATGAAGAAAACAGCAGCTACATCTGATCCCCTGCGTCTGTTGTAGCACACCTCATTTCTAGAATTCAGAATCACCTGTTTCAACTCTTTCATTTTACAAATGCAGTGTGGAATACATTAAGACCAACCAAATGAGAACATGCAAGGGGTATTATTTATTCAGAGCTTATTATAGCAAAGAAGTCATCTACTATTACTTGTGTTTAAGCACAGAATTAAAGGCTTCCAGGGGTGGGAAAGCTTTACAGCAGGAAACAAGGAAGCCTTTGGGGACACTTTGATTGGCATGAGGAAGATGTCAGTGGGCTAACGAGAAGCAGGGCATCCTATGTGATTGGTTAGAAGTGCCAATTCAACTTTCCTGGTTCCTGCAAAGTTGGGAGTGGAAACAAAATATAGGGAATCTGTCAGTTACCATTCAAATTGTGGCCATCAAGGGACCAATTGCTACAGGGGCTATAGTTTGACTTCCTGGGATGGTTGCTAGATAGTGGTCTGACTTCATACAAATCCAACTTACAGATAGCAGACTGGCTTCCCAGGCGTGGCACTGTAGACAATGGGTTGGTTTCCCAAGCTGCAGATTGTAGATCAGAATTCTATTTTTACATTGGCCTAGCCACTGTCCATTTGTATATTCAATCTCTCAGCAGAAACTGAGACCTGGAGAGGTAGAGTAACCAGAACTGATAGGTCAACGTGAGGTTTGGCACATGTATCTTGTGACCTCCAAAGGAATTTACATTCAGCTTGTTGAGGAGACAAGGTTTAAACCATGGAAAAAGGAAGGTCAACATAGATGTCATAGAGAGTAGTTGTACCAGGAAGTTTGAGTTAACACTACAGCTTGGTAGAAAGGCTCATCACCTTCTTCTCAAGGCAGGACTGCTATAATAACCAGAGCTTCTATTGATCCAGTGCTCTCTATAGACTGGATATTCTGCCCAGCCGGCGAGGTGAGGCGGTCATATGCATGGTTCTCCAGTCTTCTTACTGTATTCCTATTTTACCTCCACCTTTGTAAGTTGTGTGAACTTAAACAAGATACTTTACCTTTCTGGTCTTCTGCTTCATCATATGGAAAATGGGAATAATCAGAGCTATCTTATCACACTTTTATACAAATTAAATGAGTGAGCACTTATGACGCACTTAGAACCATACTTAGTATATAATTAGTGCTTGTTCATGTTAGCTACGATGATCTCATTTAGTGTTCACTTCAACCCAGTGTGGTAACTAGTATAACCTGCACTTTGCCAATAAAGAAACTAAGACTACCTATGTCACTTGCCCAAGATCGTGGTTGTCAAAGTCAGGATTTTTATTCATGTCTCTATGAAGTCATCACACATTTTTCCTTCCTATTATACTTCTGAACCCAAGATGTCATTGTTGGAAAAGTGAACAGTAGAGGGGGAGACAAACCATGAGAGATTATGGACTCCAGGAAACAAACTGAAGGTTTCAGAGGGAAGGGGTGCGGGGCGGATGGGTTAGTCTGGTGATGGGTATTAAGGAGGGCATGGATTGCATGGAGCACTGGGTGTTATATGCAAACAATGAATCATAGAACATTACATCAAAAACTAATGATGTACTGTATGATGTCTAACATAAAATAATAAAATAAGATAAAAGAAGGAAAAGTAAACCATGGAGTGGGAAGCATATAGGGCTGTGGTATCAGTGTGCCCACATTCAACCCTTGGTTCTGCTCTCTTGCACAAATTACTTACCATCCCTGAGCACTTTGTCCTTTGCAAACTGGTAACAATACTATCTACCTCGCAGGCTTGTCTTAAGAATTGCATAATATGATGTATGTGAAATTCCCAATAGAGTGCCTGAGACATGATGAGTACTTCATAAATGACAATAATCATTTTAATTGTTGGAGTTGGAAGTGACAATCATAAACCATTCTTTAGAGTCTGTCCCTCACTGGCCCCACAGCCCCATAGTACTATGTTGTTGGGACTACGATAGGTCAAGCAGTGACTTGGAGGAAGAGATGGGTCCTGCTGGGGTGAGGAATAGATAGGCAAAGAGGTAAAAAGGCATTGCTAACATGGTCATATATAGTCTCAAAAGACCTAGACTTCCCATGGCCCAGACTTCTGAAAGAATCAGAAATGTTTCCCAAGAAACAAATGGAGGAATTTCCTCCTTAGCTATGTGGCTAATCTGTGACACATTCATCCGGAAGTCTCACACCTTTGGCAGGTAAAACCAGCTTCCTCCTTGCTATCTCCAATGTCTCTTGGAGGTGATTGTTCCAACTTTAACATTAATTTCAGTGAAGTTGCCTCCTCAACGACTCCTTGAGGGTTGAAGCTAAGTTGTTTGTCAGATTGGTCATAGAAAACCAGGATACATGCAACTGAAAAGTATGACAGAAGACAGGTGAGATGGAGTAAAATTCTGATAGCAAACAGGTGATAGTTACATGGAATATGAAAGCAGAAGGTGTCTTGTTTTCAGAGGAACATAAAAAACCATGTCTTCCATCACCCTGAAATGTAGATATTATCATCCTGTGTCCCAGAGGGAGAAACTGAATTCCAAGAAGGTTAAGTTTTACAGCCCAAATCACTCAGGTAATGAGAGTTGAGTCATTATTTGGATCCAAAAAAAAAAAAAAAAAAGATCCAGGAAAAATACACCTCCATGTTTAAGTGGATAATAGGTGATCTAAATTTTCTTCTTTATGTTTTTCTGTATTTTCCAAATTTTCTCTTTTGGGTAGTTGTTATTGTATAATGAAAAGAGAAGTTAACACTGTTATTTAAACTTCTTCAAAGCCCAAACTGATGGCTGAGAGCAGAAACCAGAGGCAGTAAGGGGAGCCAGCTTTGCGAGCCAAGGCATCAACATTCATCTGCTAGTCATGAAAAAACTGAACTGCTCAGCAGGGTTGCAGTTCAGAGTGAGGTGGGGAGGAAGGAGGCAAACAACCAATGCCAGAAAAGCCCAGGGAAGCTCACCATGAAAGGAACCCGAAGAGAGAACACTGACTTAGCAGTTGGTCACAAAGACAAAGACTTTATCCAGAAACAATCTAAACCCTGGGGCTGGCCAGAATACAAAGTAGAAGAACCTCAAGAGAGTGTTCATGCACCAATCTAGGCAAGGCTCAGTACCTACACTTTACATCTGTTTTTTTTTTATTATTTATTTATTTGACAGACAGAGATCACAAGTAGGCAGAGAAGCAGGCAGAGAGAGGAGGGGAAGCAGGCTCCCCGCTGAGCAGAGAGCCCGATGTGGGGCTCGATCCCAGGACCCTGGGATCAGGACCTGAGCCGAAGACAGAGGTTTTAGCCCACTGAGCCACCCAGGCGCCCCTACATCTGTTTTCTTAACCTTTATAACTGAGCCTTCTGCCTATTGTAATTTGTGTTGAAATCAAGACTCTTGATTGCTGAAGTATGAGACACAAGGTTAGAAAGAAAACCAGGTGCAGAGAGGACAGTGCTCAAAGCCAACAAGGTGAAAGCAGACTGAAGCCCTTCGCTCAGTCACAGACCCTTTATGTAGAGGGCAGAGTTGTGGGATCAGAGCTATGAGTCAATGAAGACATAGAGCTGGGAATGCATTCAATAGGAGAAAGAAAGCCAGGTTCCCATTGGCATCTTTCTTTCCCAAAAGAGCAAGAAGTAATAAGGTAATAAAAGATTCAAGGTCTCCCCACCATTGTTTTTACTCCTGAAGCATTTCCAAACTCCATGAAGATATTACGCAAAGAAAACTTTATTTGTAGAAATACATTTTGGCCATACAGGATTCCATAGCATGTTTGAGGATGGAGAGCTGAGTGGGAGCGGTTAATAAATATAAGAGAAGTCTGCAATTTCACATCAGAACTTCTTCCACAACCCATACTTAGTAGCCATTAGTTCACTTTTAAATATCTCACAGAGCCTTGGCAGTCAGTAAACATGTCCTTAATTTAATAAAATGGATGACACCCCCACCCACCCCTTTAGAATTTAGAGGGTTTGTTTCCTGTACAAAAACCTGTATGAAAACCTATCGTCAGGTTATAAATATAATCCGTGAATTTTTTAATGAGTCTTATCTTCACAAATAAAAATAAATAAGTTAAATAGCAAAAATAAATAAATACATTAACTAATAAATACACCCAACAGTAGAAAAAAATATTATTAAAATCTTATAAAACCATGAGCTAGATTAAGAGTAGGAAAACATGGAGACAACCACAATAAGGAAGCAAATAATAAATAAATAAATAATATATACATGGTGACCAGCACTAGATTCTGCAGCAGCCGAGATGATGGTTTGGGGCCATGCTTCCACCGGTACCAAGGACTGGGATGCTTGGCCAGCACCACTGTCAGTAAGGTCATCACTCTCCTCCTATTTCATCTCCTCCATCCATTGCAGGAGAATGTCCAGCTCTCCCAAAGCCTTCACCACTGCGGCCTGAGGCATAAGCTGAAATACACACACTTCTGTGGTGAGCATCTCCTAAACAGACAATACATGCTCCCGGGTTAATCCTCTCCTTTCCTTGGTGGGTCCACAGGGGATTGTAAGCACAGTATCCTTTTCAAGATGGAGACCTTGAAAGAAGTTATGGGATCTTGGGATCTCACAAGAGGAAGGAAAATCATGGGGTCCATTATGTAGGGAAAGTGAAGCCTAGGGGGTGAGCAGAACTCAGACTACAACTCAGGCCTCTTGAATCAGAAATCAAAGTACTTAGGCTGTTTTTGTTTGTTTTTTTTTTAAAGAAAGATGTGTGTGTGTGTGCGTGTGTGTGTAATGTTTGCTGCTGTGCAACTTCAGATGAACAAATATTTATTGTGTTAAGCATTGGGCTGCCCAGGGATTCAGAGATGAATGGCACAAGGCCCACTGACAGGGAATTCAGGCAAGCAAGGGAGACAGAAGCAGACAACCAAAATGTAGTGGGGTGGATAGAGGATGGCGCCCCCACGGGATGACAGGAGACATAAGTAATTTTGGGAGATGTAGTCAGTACCTTCCTGGAGGTGATGCCTAGGATAGTCTTAAAGGATGAGTTGGAATTAGTCAATGAGGAGTAGACTCCAGGCCTTCCTGGCAGATGTGCAAAGGCACCAAGATGAGAAATAATACATATGTCCACATATGGACATGTGTGAGTTTGAGATTGAGTGTTTTTGAGGGTATGTGTGAGTGTGTGAATGTTGGGAAACTATTGCCTCTTATTTGTACAGCTGGAAGATCCAGATGGCCCTGGAGTGACTTGATGGAATTAGGGCCCTTCCCTCTTGAATCCCAGAGCGGCTTCTAGAGACAGCATCCTTCTAGAGCCTGGATGGGTATCCCCTGGGTTAAAGCAGAGGGGTGGTCCACATGACCTCAGAGGGTTACTGAGGGCTACAGGATTTCTACCAGTATGACTGTCCATTCCACCCATCTGTGATCTCGGTCCCAGAAAACACACCCATCCCAACCAAGGCCAAAATTGCATATACCTCTTCGAAGTGACTCAGAATCTGGCTGTATTTCTCTGTTGCTTCCTCTCCACAAGGGCATGTCATATGGGCATGCTGAAAAGAATGCCACAGAATAATAGGTTTTATTAAAGACTCTGATTTCTGCCCTTGCCACTACCGTGAAGTAAGGGGAGTTCTGTTCTTTCATCTGCATTCTTGCTCATACTCCATTCTTATAGAAAAGTCTTTTCAGATCTCATCATTGGGGATCAGAAAATTAATCATCAGCTAGAAGAAGAGGCCAGCTTTGTAGTATTAAATATGGAGCTTTTTGTTGGACCTCCACGTCCTATTCAGACGCTATCTTGATATTGAGTTCAATGGCTTTGCTGAGTGGTTGCCAGGACACAGGATACACTAATATATTGTAGGATCTTTTACCTACAGGAAAAGTGTTATTTAATGGATAGTAGATAATTATCCTGGATATTCAATAGCATTTTGTAGTTATTTGGGCTTTTGGCATGGAGCATATACCCAAAAGTCAGTAAAACTGAGTCTAGTAGACTAAAACTAGTAGACTAAAACTAGTAGACTAGTTACCTAGTCACGTGGCACAACACAGATTATGAGAACTTTTGGACTCAGTATTTCTATCTGTTAAATGGGAGTAAGAAAGAACTTAGTTGCCAAGCCACTGAAGTTGTTTGCAGCGATGGACTCTTTTTACCCAAGACTTTTACTCACACAGAGCCGGAGTTCCTTCTTAATGGTAAGAAAAGAGTTAGCAAGACTGCTGGTCTTCCGGAGGATATGGTGGTCAGGAGTCTTAAAGTTTTTGAATACCCTGTCCAGGTAGAGTCTCAGTACGTGGCGGAGGAGGCAGCACTGATCTGTAGGCTACAACGAAGAACAGTATTTTGGTGGGGGGAGAGCATCCAGGGATGAGACCCAGTGATGCAGATGCCTCTAATTCATATTTCCTCCCAAAACTTTATGGACCAAGCACATACCTTTGTGTCTTGCAAAGACTCAGTCTTCCTCAAGATTCTGGTATCAATGATTTCATCTTTGGCTTGCTAAATGGAAGAAAGCAAGACAAGAAAGGATGGGTCAGTGATGACTGCCAGGTCTTAGACATCAAGACCTCTCATCTTCTCCCTGCCACACAGCTCAGCAGACAGCGTCCCTTTCCAAAACACTCTTAAATTATGAACTACAGCTGTTTTTGGGGAACACACCCTCCTGGTAAGGAGTTCCCCAGCCTATCTCTTTTTGTGATCACACTGCTGGGCTGCCAGAGGACAGAGAAAGTTACATAGAGAAGAAGAGAGACAGCCACTGGAACAGGAAGGGGTTGCCTCCCTCACTTACCACACTGTCTCGTATCTCAGAAAATCCATTTCGCATTTCCTGAAGGTTTGTGGTGATCACACAGCTTCCCAAATGGAGTGTCTTCAGCCCAGCAGAAGGTGTCCAGAAGAGATAAAATGCAGCAGAGAGAAGGCAGATTGGAAGACCAGAAACTTTCATCTTGTGCCAGAATCTGAAGACCGAATGAGCTAGGAATTCAAAGGAAAGAGAATGACTTCCTAATTTTCCCAACATCATGTCTTAAGAAGCCAATTCAGTCACCAGGGACATGCTCTCCCCAGGTGTCCCCTGGTGAAAGTCAATAGCTTTGTCTGGCTTTGAACAGTCCGGCCCTTTCCTTTAACTTACTAAGAAAAGCAGCTGAGCCTCCTGGAAGAAAAGACTCTGGGTCTTTGTTCAAGGTCTCAGTGTGAGTTGGTGTTTCAGGTCCTGGCTCCTTTATTCTGTCCCCATCCCAGCCCCATCGTCATTGCCCAGCAGGTAAGTCCTGGAACAGCAGGCACTTGCAGCGAGTAGAGGATTACATTTCAGGGAAAATGTTAAAACTTGTTTTGGCGAATTGACGTGTACCGTCTTCCCTTCCAGAATGCCGACGTAGCTCACTCTTCTGGTCCCCTTGAGCCCGAAGGGGAACTGCAGGAAAACAGAATCTCACAGAAGCTGTTGCTGAGCCACCAAAAACACTTGGGGGAAACGGTCTATAGATTTTATGGTTGCCCCCCAGGGGCAGAAGAGCTTAGCTGTTTGGTATTTGTCTGGGATCAGGTTGGTTATTTGGGGATCATAGATTTACTTCAGCCCCAAAGGCAAATAGAAAGTCAGTGATTTCATAATAGTCCTACTGCCAGGGAAAGTCGAGATCTGATGGGCAATTAGCCCAGTTACACCTAACACTTCTCCTTCCTGAGGTGGCTGAGCTCCACAGCACCCTCTACAGGAAGACTATAGTCAGGCACATCTGAGAGGAATGCAAGAGGGGGGCTCTTTCCTCATTCTGCAACGCTTGGCTCTGTCCAGGCACCCCCAAAGGAAGAAGAAAGGCAAGAAGGGAATTCATTTCTTCTTGAGATAGGCTGCTCCTATCCCAAAACTTCTGAGTTGTAAGAGATATTATAGGGGGCTGAGATTAGGGTGAGGAGAACAAAGTGCTCACATCAAGCACAAAATTTAAGGGTGCACCAAAAGTCTCCATAATCCAGATAAGTAATATGTTAATGCAACATCAGAATTAATGAAAAAAATCCACGATGAATAACAGATCAACATTTTAAACAAAGGCAGAATCTGACAGTGGTGTGCTGAGACATACTGGCTATAAGTTCCCATCAAGGTAGGTTGTTCCCAGTGTGCTCAGGACTGAGGGGGATCCCCAGACCCAAGACTCTCAGTTTGAAAACTGGAAAAGTCACAGGTAAACCTGAACGCTTTAGTCACCCTACACCTACGTGACCCTGGACAAGTAAACTGCCTTTTCGAGTTTTGTTTTCTTAGCCCCCAAAACGGTGGTGGTAACCACTTACCCCAGAAACTTGTTTTGACATTTAAAGAAAATGAAGCATGATTTTATACATCTAAAATATAGCGAGTAATCAATTCATTTAAAAAAGAAAATGATGTTCGTTGCCTTGAGCATAGAGGGCGTATAGTTAAATATAGTTTAAATTCAACGGTTTGATTAGCATTTACTGAACAGTATCTTAAATATTGCATTAGGTACTGGTGTGAGAAGATAAACATGACAATTCTCTATCCTTAGGGTATTTTTGTCCTCCTGGAAAAGGCTCCTTTAGATGTGGCCCTGAACACACTTGGGTGAATGATTGGGAGAACCACCCTGATCCCCAGAACGGTGTGAATAGTGTAGATAAAGGGAGCTCTCTTACCGGAGTTCAGGAAAGGCTGCTGCTTCTGGTCTCCTAGGAGTCTGTCTCAAGTCAGGAGGCTTCCAGGGATTTATATATGTCACATAAAGGAAGTGAGCTCCCAAAGGTGAGGTCTGAAACTCCCCTGGGATTTCTCTGGTGGCACTGCACTTCCTCCCATCCCAAGGCAGATTAATTGCAGGCTGTGTTACCTCAACACCTTCCTCCTAAAGAAGCCTTCTTAGAAGACTACTGGCTATAGTTTTTAGATAAAAGATGTGTTTCTTTCTTCCCGGGTCCCTTCCAGAAGGAAGGTGAGATGGTAATCAGGGCAAGAAAGATCTCTGAATTACAGAACTGGAAGAGAATTCCAAGAGGTGCTTTTGTCCCCTCCTTTATTCTTCTAATTTTTATTTTTTAAGATTTTATTTTTAAATAATCTGCACATCCAGCGTGGTGCTGGTGAAGCGGGAGAGCAAGGTTCTTGTCTCCCAGAGTGGAAGAATGACCCTTTCAGACAACGGAGAGAGAGTAAAGCGATAGAGTTTTATTAAGCGAAGATACACTATTCACACAGTTCCTGAAGATACAGGAAAAGCAATCAAGAGTGAGAAGGGTTCCAACAAGGTTGCCAACAAGGGCCTCCACTGACAGTCTTTAATTTAGAACTGACCGGAGAGCTTGTGGCCTTACCATTCTTGTGATGTTTTGGCTTGAGTAAGGACTGATGATAATATTTTTAATGGCTCACTTCTTTTCAGCGTCTGGTTATTCTTTGTTGGTCACAGGAGGCTGTTATAAAACAAGACACCTACCCCACATGCCTAGGGCAGGGTGGCCCGGTTGGCTCCCTTATCTCTGGTTTCCCCAAATTCCCCCCTTTTGGGGATTTCTGAGAGCCTGATCACATAGTCCCCTATCTAACTCTCCCTACCTAGCCCCGCCTGTCCCTTATTCACTGGAATTCACAGCCCTAAGATAAAGCGTCTCATCACTACCAGCTGAACCAGCCATGCACCCCAACCCCCTCCTTTGAATCCAGTTCCCTTTAACCCGGTTTCTTCAGGGCCAGGCAAATCCCTTCCTTCTCTGACTTCCAATTTCAGGCCTCTCTTTGGAACGTAAGAGAGTCTGATGTTGCCCTCTGTTTCATAAGCCTTAGACTTTCCTCCCCAATGACACTGAAAAATTGTCTTAGGGACTAATCCATCAAGTGGAACCACACTTCCAGGTAAGATGAAATCAAAGCACCTGGGATTAACTATATGCAAAGCTTTGACAACTGTCAAGATGGTAGAGATGGTAATACGTTCCTTTTCTACTCTTTTCTTAATACCTAAGCTTCTGGGGTCCTGTATTTGAGTTCAGGGATTCCAAGGGTTACAGGATGACTTTCCCATATGATTTCATTTTTCTGGATTTGTTTACACATCTGTTTACGTACAAATGAGAGCAGTGTAATAGGTAACGGATAAGATCCATCCCAATTCTGACATTCAACGCCACTATGCTTCCTTGCTCTTCTACCTTTTGGCTCAGAGCACTCTTTTTAAAATGTCTTTTAATGTCTCCCTGAAGTTCCTTGAAAATGAAGACCATAATTTTTCATTGTAATGTTTGATAAATATTGAAAATATGTGTGAATATCCAATCTAAATATCTCTTGAGCTCATGCCTGGTTTTTTTTTTTTTTTAAGATTTTATGTACTTATTTGACAGAGCGATAGAGAAAGAGCACAAGTAAGCACAACAGCAGGCAGAGGGAGAGGGAGAGGGAGAAGCAGGCTCTCTGCTGAGCAGGAAGCCCGATGCGGGACTCGATCCCAGGACGTTGGGATCATGACCTGAGCTGAAGGCAGCCGCTTAACCCACTGAGCCACCCAGGTGCCCCTCATGTCTGTTTTTTAATCATTGCTGCTAGGTAGACCATTTCTCATGATCATCCAGAACGGTGATTAAAGTAATGAGAACCATGGTTTGACGAGAATACTTGAAGCCCAAAGCTTCAGAAAATATAAGCTGTTCTCATGCCTGTGAATTCCTTTCCTTTAAGCAAGAAGAACACAATTGTTTTGTTTGAAGTTACCTGTAATGATTAACTAAACTTATTCCTATGCAATCCTGATTCTAATTTAATAATTGAGTCTTTCATTTTCCTACATTGAAGTACTTTCTTCTCTTAAAATCCACCCAATAGATTCCATTCCATTCTCTGAACAGACACCAATTCAACACTCCTTTATAAAACTGCCCTTGCCTCACCCTAACCTCTCTCTCTCTCTCTCTCTCTTTCTCCCCCACCCCCATTTCCCAGGGAAAATTGGTCCCTCCCTCCTGTGGACCTCCACTCTGCCTTGCATATTACTTCTTTTGTACCTCTCACAGCAAATTGCAGGTTTTTTGGTTGCGTATCTGGATCTCTCACCAGCCTGAGAGCTCCGTGTTCATCTTTGTGGTCCCAACACTCGATGACCTCCTGGTAGGTGCTCAGTTAATACCTGAGACCTAGTAGATGAACAGACTGATTTAAAATCATGTCCTCTTTTTTTTTAAGATTTTATTTATTTATTTGACAAACAGAGATCACAAGTAGGCAGAGAGGCAGGCAGAGAGAGAGAGGAGGAAGCAGGCGCCCTGCTGAGCAGAGAGCCCAAAGCGGGGCTCGATCCCGGGACCCTGGGATCATGACCCGAGCGGAAGGCAGAGGCTTTAACCCACTGAGCCACCCAGGTGCCCCTCATGTCCTCTTTATGTTAAATCCTGCCACAGGCTCTCAGGCTTGGCTGAACCTAAAAATAGAGACACACAGAATAATTAGTCATTACCAAATGGCCTGAAATCAGACAGGGATAGGAGGATGGTGAGATGAGGGTAGAAGATGAGCTGGTCTTGAGGTCAGAAGTAATATTGGCCATATTAAGAAATTTGGATTTTACCCAAAAGCAAGGAGTTATGAAGACTTGCAGCAAGGAGCAATGTGATTGGATAAGCCAACTGGAAAAACTGCTAGAAAAACTGGGGTCCAACGAAGGGCTTTCAGGACAGAGATGACTAGGGCAGCAAAGCTCACAACGTATTTGAGAACTAGCAAACGGCCTACCTGGCTAGAGCTGGATTTCGTGTAGAGGGGCGATGGGAGACCAAGCTGGAAATACGGCTCTATCATCACAGTTATCATGCCAAGGAATGTGAACTTGGACTAGGAATCTAGAGAGAGATTGTCTGGATCTGGCTTTACCTGCAGCCCACTGCGTGGTCTTGGATCTTCTCTGGATCTCGGTTTCCTCATCTTTAAAT